GCACTTAACAACAACAACAAAGTGTTTCTATAGTCGCTGATTTTGTTCAACTTCTGTTTTTTTAGCTACTGTATTGTGGCAATTACTATTTGTGATCGTATATCAGCAAGTTTTTTTGGTAATGGAGCAGTAATTAAATGAAAAGGATAAAAGTTTTTTAAAGTTTCTGCTCAGTTACTAATAATGTTGCAATTAATAATGCTGTAATTCATTGTAGACATTACAAATTAATTTTGTTTATATTCACTTAATGTAAGAAATATTTCATTAAGCATCTTACAACTATATCTCATATTATTCTATGATTAAAATTGATCCTAAACATTGCTAAGTGTTTTGAATGATCTGGTATGGGAGGAGGTATTGAGGGGGTGACATGAGGAGTTTCCACACTGGGGGACACCACCCTAGTGGCACCTCTGTGGAGAAGTGTCTAAATTAGAGCCTACAGGGTCCAGCATTAGGGAATATTGACCTACTAAAATCTGGAGACCCCATTTCAAGGGCAGAAGAGAGAGAAAAAAGATGCTTACCACATAGGAGTAGAGTGAGACCAATGCTGGAGCCTAATTTCCTGTCATTTTAATGGCTAGCAGTTTTGCTCCTGGAGTTCCTAGCTGGCACAAACAGTTAAGTGCTGGACTACTCATCAAAAGATTGGAACAGAGATGCCTTGGAAGAAAGTCTCAGTGATCTGCTTCTGGTAGGCCACAGCCATGCAATCACACAGTTTTCTGAAACACCGTGGTTGTCATGAGTTAGAATTAACTCAAAGACAACTGGGAAAAAAAAAAAAAATCCTTACTCACTAGTAGGCATAACTCAAGAAATGAGATGATCAGTTTCTCCTCTTAGAATAGGAGGTTGGCAAGGAGTGCAGGGAAGAGAGGCGGAAGGAGTTGAGTGCCTTAGGGAGAGTGATGGAAATGTGAGGAGGTGTAGAATGTTCTCTCCAATATCCATCTCGAGGATTCTCAGTCTTCCATCATCTCGATATGTTCTGCAAGCTACTTTTCTTAGACATCAGTATTATCTGAAAGACTCAGAAGATAGAATTATAAACAATGTAGTTTTCCTGTAAACTTTCTGTATATTTTTCTTCTATTTCCTAGTCTTTTTATTCAGAATTTTATGTTTGTTTCCTGAATCAATAAATACTATAGAAAACAACATAAAAATGACTACCGTTTTCTCTCCCCTGCTCCCAGAGACCTAGGAATACCGTGGACCTCCTCACTCCAAATTTGTTCTCCCTCCAGATTTGGTCCAGCAAATGGGGTTGAATGACATCATAGCCTCTTGCATCATTATCAGAGGAATTTGACTCCGGTAGGGAGAGCCTCTGGGGTCTGGATGTGACTAGGTTAGGAAATTGGATTAATGGTATTTGGGAGAAGAAGTGGCATCCGGGTCAAGAGCATTTTAGACACCCAAAGAAAAGGCGTCTAAAATGTTCACGGTTCCTTCTTTTGCCTCAAAAAGTGACATTAATCAAAGGAAAGAAAAAAAAAAAAAAAGACAAGGTGTTCATCCCTGGGTTCCCTCTTCCTTCCCTGCTCTAGCTGCTGCTCCTCAGCTCCCCCAGGAATGAACCATGGCCAAGGCTAAGCAGCAGGATAGATAGCCCCTCTCAAAGGAGGTCAGCAACATTGAAGGACGTCTCATCAATGAAAATGTTGTAAAAGGGCTCAATGCCTCAGAGTACTCTTGTCTTCTTCTGTCATCATGACAGTAGCTACACTCTTATGGTGAAAACATCCACCAGGACTGATTCTGTGACTATAAATTCCCCTGCTGAGGAGAAGATCATAATCGATGGCTAGAGAAACCTACTGAGCAACAATGCCTCTGGCCAGTAGGTAGGTCAGTGGTAATCAGGACTCTGCTAGCATCAGTACAGAACTCCCTCATGATCACACCTCATTCCTTTTGGTCTGTATCTCCATGCATGGTGGAAACACTTTTCTCCAGCATGCATCTTCTCAGTGAGCCAGTCTGCTTGGGTGATGGTCAGGGTTTCATACAAGGAGTCCAACTTCCACTCCTTGTGTTCCACATAGATGTAGCATTGACGGAAACCCTCTAGGGTCAATTCTTCCTTCTTGACAAGAATCCGAATGGGGTCCCTCATGAACTTCTTGGTCACCTCAAGCACATCGGAGGGTAATGTAGCTAACAACAAAACTTCCTGGGTGTTGCTGTTGAGTTTTTGAAATACGTCGTAGTCCTTGAATCCACAGCTTAACATTTCATCAGCTTGATACAGTACAAACATCTTGATGTACTTGGGAGACAAGTATCTTCAATTAAGCGTATCAAACATGTGGCCTAGGATGCCCACGATGATATGAGAGCCGCCATCTTCAGCTTCTGTACTTCAGCACATACATTTGTGCCCCCAGTGCAGGCATGGCAGGACCAGGTAATCTAATGCCATGACCACCTTCTGTATCTGCTGGGCCAATTCTCAAGTAGAAGTCAGGACCAAGGCCTGGGTGGCCTTTAAATCTAATTCAATTGCTGCAGAATTAATATGGCAAAAGTGGCCTTTTTCCCAGTCCCAGATTGGGCGTGAGAAGATTACATCATAACCTTCAATACAAGGAAGAATGGCTGACTGATGAATGGCACAGAGCTTCTCAAAACCACAAGCATAGATGCCTAGGAGCAGGGACTCTGAGAGGTTCATGTCATCAGAAGTGTCAACAATTTCATTCCAGTTGCTGTCAGTGCCTTCAGGCTCCATCCTTCCAGGCCATTGTCTCTGGATCAGGGATCCAGACTTACAGACATGATTCTTAGAAGCTCGTCATGTTTTTTTAAAGTAATAATTAGGTGATGGTGGTGGTATGCTGTGGAGTTTGTTCCCACTCAGCGACTCTTTATAGCGTTTTCAAGGCTGTAAGTCTTTACGGGAGCAGAAAGCCTCATGTTTCTCCATGGAACAACTGGCAGTTTTGAACTGATGAAACTCTGAAAATATCACCTAGAATACATAGAGGCAGGTAAAGTGAAGCTGATTTTTATTTAAACTCATGAAGCTATACTTGCTTCTAGTTTCTAGAGGAGGTGCTTATAGGACATAAAAATAAATAGAGTTTACGAGTTTTAAGAAAATGCTTTATTTTAATTCTTTATGTTGATTTTTTGAAATGATACTAATGGGTCTAAACTTATCCCAGAACACATGAGTGAAAAGAGACATTTCTCCAGGTTTGTGAGCAGGTATTGAGGCATGGTACCTGGGAGCACTGTGGGTGTTGTCAGAAATATGAATTTGTATGTTATTAATATTTATAATCTATTGTCTTGTTTATACCTTTTCTAAGAATGAATATCTGTGTCTTGAATTAGTTTTAAGTTGAGTTATGCTTTTAGCGAGTCTTGAAGTCACTCTCATTCCACAGGTACTGGCATTGTTCATGTATTTATAGAACTTTTAAGGTACTCTCATAAATAATGAGCATAAATCCACATTGTGAGATAATGACATATGCTAAGTTCCCCTCTGGTGGTACATATTATTTGATTATATTTAATTCAAGCATTTCTATACTATATTTTATTATACATTTGAGAATGTTAAAATGACTTCTCAAAAGAGCGTCTTTTTACTTTCACCTCAGGCATTTGTGTAATTGATAACAAAATATGTTTTCAGCCTGGCAGCTGTAGAACCATCCATGATGCTCTTGGAAAAGGTGAAGAGGCATCTGAAGCGTCCCGTGTGGATGAACGCTGATATTCTTCCTGGTCCAAATGGACATGGCAGAGTAGTGGATGCAAAATTATTTATAGATACTGTGACCTCCTACTTTCCTGATGTGACATTTTCCCTGGGTTGGACAACAGGATGGCATCCTCAGAAAGTCAATGAAGGTGATAACTCTAATAGTATGTTTCTTGTTAATCAAGTTAAAATAATCTCTAGATATAACAATAGCTTCTTTGATAGAAAACCAGAACATCTCCCCCCACCCCCATCTAATCGAGAGAATTATCTGGCCTCTAAGGGTATGTGTCTGGTTCTTCTTTCTGTTACTTCAGCTAGCACCACATTCATTGGTGAAGTGCTGTCACCAAGCTTCCTAGGGAAATATTTATTTACAAGGTCTCTGTGGTGCTGTAGGATAAGCACTGGACCTCAAGGTCAGTTTGAATCACAAGGTTTGTTGTTGTTGTGTGCCGTGGAGTCAGTACCTATACAGGGTTTCCGAGGCTGTAAATCTTTACGGGAGCAGAAAGCTTCATCTTTCTTCCACAGAACAGCTGGTAGTTTTGAACTGCTAACCTTGAGGTTCGCAGCCCTATTCGTAACCACTACACTACCAGAGCTCCGTGAATCACAAGGTAGGCAGTTCAAACTCACCGCTGCTCCTTGGAAACCCTATACAGGGTCACTATGAGTCAGAAACAACTTGATGGCACTTAACAACAACAATTAATCGAAGGATTTCTGGTGTTTGATGTAGGATAAGCACTGGACTGCTAACCTTAAGGTCAACAGTTAAAACCTATGAGCCACTAATGGGAAATCCTATACAGGGTCACTATGAGTTGGAGCCAGCTCCCCAGCACTTAATAACAACAGACTCTAAAGGAGCTCTAACAGTGCTTACCGAAAATCCAGCAGCCTGTCCGCAGGACACAGACGAGGCTGTCTATTCCTGAAAGATTGACAATCTTGGAAACCCAAAGAAGCAATTCTGTGCTGTCTTAAAGGGTTGCTAGGAGTCAGAATCAACTTAAAAGCAGTGGATTTGGTTGGGTTTTTATAATAACCAGAGGTGTCAACAATTTTTTACACATTTAGAATAAATTCTAAGTTGACCCTTTTGAACTTAGAAAAGGTTCTGTAGTTTTTGTTTTTGTCTTGCCTTGAGTAAATTCCCTGTCTCAGATGAAGGATAAGGAGGTGGATGGTAATAAAGGAGTTTCAAGTGAAGTGAGGCTGAAGTTTGAGTGTGTAGTAAAAGGGCACAAGTTCCCCCTCATCTCCAATCATGCATCACTGGATCCAGGGTGCTGGAGTAGGAGACTGCTGGACTGAACCTCTTCTTTCCATTCTCGCCTTCCTATAAACACTATAGACAAACCTCACATTCTGCTGGGTTTTCCTGACTGCCACTTGTTACATCACTGGATCTATCTTACTCTTGGTTCATACATTCCTAGATAGTGATTTCCCACCAGTATGCAATCAAATGCTCTGAGACACCTGTTCATGTGGTAAAAATAATAAATAATAAAGACATTTAGGACCTAAGGAGATGTATCCTACTCTGTGCAAGGCATTCATTTTTTACTTACCAATATGCTATGTTGTTTTCAAATAGAAAGTTTTAAAGTCCAACATGAGGTTAGACTATTTGCTGTCTAGGAGCTGCTATCACTGGACCATGTGGGTTCCACAGTTGATCTGATGCATTGTAACTTAACTTTTAATTTTCCAGTTATTAAATTTCTTATTAGTTTTATTAAAGAATATAACATAGAATTTAGTATGGCTGAAGAAGATAAACTAGAAACACTGTACTACTTTCCTCATTAATTCTAAATTACTTTTTGTTTACTGATTTTAACTCCAAGTTTGAACTGAGTTTAACCATATCTGGGTCTATAAGACAGTTTTGTGTTGAATATCTCCTGGCTGTTTTTTCCAGCTGCCTTCTCATTTTTACCAACATGAGCTTTATGTTTTGTTTTTATACCACAGATTTTTTTAAAAAAAAGAAGTTTATAGGCTTATAATCATTTTAAGTACAGCTTTCTATTAGCAATCCCTTTTACTAATCAAAAAGATATAATCTTCTAGATTCTAAAGGAAAGTAGAACACTCTCTAGACCCCTAGTGTCACACTGTGAGTTCATGCACTGGACTGCAATGTTGGTTTGAACCTCAAAGTCGGTGGTTCAAACTCACTAGCTTCTCCTTGGAAACCCCATACAGGGTCGTTATGAGCTGGAACCGACTCAGTGGCACTTAACAACAACAACAGGACTTTCCTGCTTCCATTAGGAATTTAGTTGCAAAACTAGCATAACATATTCATTTAGGATTTGTGTAAAATGTTCCATTAGTGACCAGTACATTTTTACAACCTGCTTTTGATAGAGTTAGTTAGTTTAGTTAGTTAGTTAGTCTTGTTTAGAAGAGTATGAAAATGTTTATAAACGGACAAATGTGCTTTCCAAACTGTCCTGACATGATCGAAAACATAAATAAATTCAATGTTATCACTATTGTCTATACTAGGCTAAATGGATAAGTAATTTGGACTAGCCAAAACTCATTTGAAGTTTATTACTAAACTGCTGGTTAAAAAAAAACACAAAACAGTAGCCATCTTTCTCTTGGAAACAAAAGCTTTGTTACCACAAGTGGGAAATATAAATTTACTGAGAATGTTAATGATGAAGCATACCTAAGCGTCCTGGTTGGTGCAAACAATCAGAAGGTTGCAGTTCAGATTCACGTAGATGCACCTGGGAAGAAAGACATGAGAATCTGCTTCTAAAAATCACAGCCATCGAAAGCCTCTGGAGCACTGTGACCCACCTGGGGTCGCAATGATGTGTGATCAAATTGACTATAACTGGCTTGATTTTCTTAAATACCTAACAAAGAGCCTTGTTTTTGTTGTTGTTGTTAAGTGCTGTTGAGTCCGTTTTTAATCATAGTGACTCTTTAGAGGATTTCCAAGGAGAGGCTGATGGGTTTGAACTCCCGACCTTTTGATTAGCAGTCCAGTGCTTACCATACAGTACCACACAAGGACTCCAACAAAGACCCTTAGAATCTTTAAAATAAGTAAACTGTATACAACATGCTTCTTTTTATATTTGAGAGATAAGTACAGCCCTGTATCATTTTAATTTTTTTGCTAAATTTACTTGAAGTCACTTGTGGCATGATTTTAGATTTAATTTTTATCTACATTTTTCTATACAAGATATTTTCTAGTACTAATGGTATTTTTAAATTCCTCAGAATTCAAATGGAAATTTTTATGCTCCTAGGTAATTTAGTGTTTTATTTATTTGACTTACAGAATTCCAGTCAGAAGAGTTACATTTCTGTCTTTTTATTTCAGGTTACAGTTGGACAATGGTGAAGGAGATGGAGTATATATGTAATGAACTAAATCAGCCTGTAACATTTCCTGTCAGAGCAGCATTAGTCAGACAGTCTTGTTCTCAGTTACTTTGGCTGTTAAAGAAATCCAACAGGTACGTATTCATTTATCACTACGGTGTATGCATGCGCATGTGTATGAGAGCTAAAGAATGAAAACTGAGTATGTAAGCACAGACTCCATCACTAGACTAACCTATTTATATAGTATCTTTCAGTCCTGGTGTGGCGCTGTGGCTTAATGCGCCAGCCTGCAAAGCCATTTGAACTGCAAGGTCGGCGGTTCAAGCTTAC